ATGGGCTCCCCCCTATCTCCGGTTATAGCCAACATTTTCATGGAGAAATTTGAGACTGACGCCATCCAGACTGCCACTCTGCGCCCAACCTTATGGAAGAGGTACGTGGATGACACTTTTGTCATCTGGCCACATGGCCGGCCTGCTCTAGACCAATTCTTCGACCACATCAATTCCATACACCCAGCCATCAGATTTACCATGGAAGTCGAAAAAAATGGCAAGCTACCTTTTTTGGATGTCCTAATAAAAAAGAGACCTGATGGTTCAATGAGCCACTCTGTCTATAGGAAAGCTACCCATACGGATGCTTATCTGAAACCGGATTCCCACCACCATCCATCACAGAATAATTCTCTCATCAAGACTCTGTACCATACAGCCCAATGCATATCCGACCAGGAACACATAGGCAGTGAACTCAAGCACGTACACCAAGCTCTTAAGGCTAATGGTTACTCCGACTATACAATCCGCAAAGCTATCACTCAAACCATGAAGAAGGACCCTCTTGAGGAGCCTTTCAAAACCATCACTTTACCCTACATTGCGGGGATCACAAAAAAGATCTCCAAAATCTTGAATAAACACAAGATCCAGGTCCGTTTCAACACATTACATAAAATCCGTGATCTGGTTCCGTCTGTAAAAGATGTGATTCCGGACATACAGTACCCTGGTGTCTACAAACTAAGTTGCCTCTGTGGTAGTAGTTACATTGGAGAAACCAAACGCCATGTCTCGGACCGCATTCGTGAACACAAAGCAGACCTTAAACACGGTAGGACCAACACCTCGGCCGTGGCAGATCATTGTTATAATTCAGTAGGCTCACATGACATTGACTTTTCCAAGACAGAGGTTCTTTGTAAGCCATCTGGCTACCATGAGAGATTCGTTCATGAGGCTATCCACATATACAAGCACAGAGACAATTTCAACTGAGAAGATGGATTCTGGCTTAGCAATCATTGGAAGGATTTGATAAACCATTTTAGGTCTTAATTGATTGTTCACGCTTACGGTGGCTTTCAGACAGCATACATTAATTTTTCGTCTCCCCCCTCCTCTTTTCAGAACATAGATGGACTAGTCCTTCTAAATAAACTGCCAAAAAGGCCGCGTTTTTAAGCACAGGCGCCTGCCAAGATTCGATTCCAGCACCTGAGAGGAACCGCGTCAGTGTTCTGACATGGCACCAGCTCACTAAAGCCACCGGTACGCTACTTTTTATTTTAACCTTTCGCCCGTCGGCGCATGCGTGCGTGTGCCCGCACGCATTTGCTTCAATAAACCTGTTCTTTCAACTAACAAGATACAAAATGAGAAATGTTAGCGATGCTGAGTGCTTGCCCGTATTTATCAAGAATTTTTTCATTTTTTAATCGTCGAGGTAAGGTCAGAGCGCTGACCTGGCACTGCCGAGCTTCTGGGTTCAAATCCAGGTGACCGCTTGTGATTAAACATCACTCTCAAGTATGGCGAGTTAGCAATATGATGGTTCTTGGCTCGTTCACTTCACCATTGGATTTCAACACTCAATTTGGTTCTGTGCATGATTCGGCTTTATTATATCTGAGAATTAAAGTATTGGTTTCAATGTCACGTCATGAATATTACTCTCATATGCGCAGTGTGAACAAGAAGGGAGATCCTAGACGTGGCTCTGTGATGTCCGCTTCTGTGGGCCGTTCTCTACCATTAAGGGATACGCCGAGCTGCTCAGAATCAGAATATTTATCCCGGAGAAATCCGATGAGCTATGAAGCTCTTTTTCACAGATGTCCAGTAGCAGCAGGTCAGAAAGTTGCAACAACAAACATTACAAAGTATAGGAAAGGTAAGAAAAAATAATCAAATAGATAAAGTATAAAATAGATAAATTCCCAAGCTTGAGCAAGGCAGCAAAACACGAACAAAAGCAGTCCCCTTTTTTCTGGCAACAAAACTGAAACCTTTTCACAAGGATTCATGTCTGCATTAACCACAATACCTGCAGTCAAAATGCAAACAAAAAAAATACTATGATAATATATGCATTGTCACATTTGCAAACGCAATTGGATTTGCCAATGTGAGATTCGAATGGATACTTCGTCTTATGACATCAAAAGCACGATCGGCATGCTGGGAAATTGACAAAACACGTAAAGTTCTAATTTCAAATAGGTTATGAACCCTCAACGATGAAATAACACTCCCGATTGCTGCACGCAGAAGATATGCACGACTCCGTCAGATGGCTCTTGCCGAAGTTTCATATCGTTTATTTGTACACTTAACCAGTGGATTTCAACTACAGTCTTCAGGGGCCACCTCAGTCCAGCATTCGACATATGCCTTGCAACAGACAAGAGCAATTTACAAACAGTTCATAATTTACATTTTAACGAGCAGGCGACTAATTTACATCCGAGTGTGAGCGACTGGCGGCTGCGTAAAAAGACTGATGATGATGATCGGTCTCTGAGGACTGAGTGGGGAGGGGTGGTGGTCACGAAACCCCTGAAGTGAAAATCTTAAAAACACTCAATGTCCAGGTGCGATCCCCAAATCTACAAAACAACATTAGTTCCCCCGATGCGATTACCCCTTCCCTGACCCACCCACCGCTGAGAAAATGCATTTCATTAGAAAAATATACAAGGCTTATATAATTAGAATAGCTAAATTAAAATGATACAAAGTAAGCCCTTTGTTAAGCCACTGCTGCATGAAGGTCCCTCCATTCCATTTTGGTTGTTGGGGTTGTTTGACCATACTTCACCAAACTGGTCAATGCGAGTCGGTGAAGGGTAAGGGGCAGGGTGAGGGGTATGGGCCTACTTCAGATATCACTCGTCAATGATGCAACACATGGCCCTCAGAAATGAACTCAGCTTGGTTGCTTCATAAAGCGGTGCGCTAACCACTGCACCACCACTCTCCCCCACGTGCCCCTGCCCCCCTTCCACGAAAGTAATGGAATGAAATAAACACGATGTGTTTTACAATAAATCACTGTAGTCGTGTCTGTAGCCATTGGTTCTGCATTCTTAACCATAGAAATTACTGCCACTGCTCATGTCACCGATGCATGTACTGGTGTCAAACGCTGGAGCAAAGAGCTGGAATCACAGTCCGACGACATGCCCAGTGGTGTGTGTTTGATTCATATAAAAAAAATATACAAATCTAAACTTGTATTGCAATTGTATTACAGTGTTAAAAGCGAAACTATACAAGGTAATAAAAAAGGCAGGAAGGAATAAAAAATATTTTGACAGACGGTGGTTTTGAGGGAGACTGAAATCGTTTGCCCCTGGCAGGATTAATCACACGGAGTGTAAGAGTACTTCTATAGCTCCCCATCGGCAATTAAAAACAAACAGCACAGTACAAACATCTAGAAGTAATTTGGAAATAACAAAGCGCTGTAGGCAGAATGACTAATTATTACATTTTTTTCCTGTTACAAAATTAACTTTGCACGCTTCGCTAAAAGGTGTTAAAATATACGCTACCGATTCGGTGACTAAAACAATGTCTCAGAACACAGTTCTAATTAAACAATAACAGCGTGACCGACCTATATATATTGCGTTTTACTTGTACATCAAGCTCACATCTGACAGAGCACGTGACTAGGCGACAGGGCTCCCACGCATCAAAACCAACACCTTCCGAGGTTGACTTTTTCCACTTGTGATTTAAAAATACTCGACACAATCGTCAAAAAACACCGTGGCCTTAAAAGGAACTACGGTATCTATGTATAATGTATACGCTTTGGGGGCGATGGCATGTCATCATAGCAAATGTGCTATGTACATGTAGAAAGGCCATTTGCCTAGAACGTCGCCTACTTTTCCTTTTAAGGCTACGTTATTTACAAATGCGTGAAGATTTTTTTTTTATTTGTGATTGTGGACCACGGCCATCGCAGCAGCATCACCAAAATTATTTGTTACATTTTACCACCGATTAGCACTGTTGGCTACGTACGGTGCAAAATAAATTCAACAGACATACATTTGATTCGTGCGCCTTTTTTAACCCAGATTTTCCAGAATAATCCCATGTAATAGATGCCAGAAGCCTCTGATTAAAGTATCGTGCATTTGACTACCGTTATTATTATTCCTGAACCCATCTTGTTTGACAATCTGATAAAGACTAACGCCACATTTGTGACGCGCTCGCAAGCAACGTGTTCACTCTGTGACTTCCGAGGATCTATCGACCGTACTATGCCGCCCTGGGGCCTTGACAATTTCACCGCCTTAAAAGTGTAATGTCGTTACCAGAAAAACCTTGAAATAAAAGCGTAACACGTCAAAGTAACACTCACCGAACACTGACGAAGTGAATTTTTGCGTGGGTGCCCCAGCTGTTCAAAATAAAAACGCCGCCAAAGATGGCAACGTCGGTGTCACAAAGAAGCGAGCGGTGAACTTCACCGGGACAATGCCGCGTCCTCCGCACGGCATCCGCGACCAGATGGGTGACCTCGCGACGTCTCCTCTGAAACCCCCCTGCTCGGTGTCTCGTGCGTCACTTAACATGATGATGATGATTATTATATTCTTAGTTTTTTCGGTAAAGTCACGTTGAAGAGAAACAACAAAATAATAAAATATATATAAAACAATAAAAAATTCTCACGACGTTTCGACCATAACTCAAACGACACACCTGAAGATGACCGTTTGAGTTATGGTCGAAACGTCGTGAGAATTTTTTATTGTTTTATATATATTTAATTATTTTGTTGTTTCTCTTCAACGTGACTTTACCGAAAAAACTAAGAATATGAATTACTGCAGTCACGAAAGCTTTAAATCAAAATGATGATGATTATTGTTATTATCGTTCGTTACGTTTCTGCAGGCCCCTTTTGTCAGTCAGTGCGGGCAAAGGAAAGCGGAGCAGCTGCATGATACTTAGCGGTCAATGTGCACTTGCCATTGAAGGCAGCTTGTACGCTACGCAGCCAGTGAGTTTGATTTCCACAAAGTGGCTCGTCGCTGTAATTTATTTTCAGTGGCAGTCACCAAGGCACGAATACCAAAGCAAAGCCGCCCGTTTGCCGAAAGTGGACAATACAGACCCACCATCACGCACGTGCTGTCAAAAACTGGTGGCATGTCCTATATTTTGAACGGCTGAAGTTACACATGTGATGGTGCATGATGAAGACACGACGAGGATGATGTTGATGTATTGTGCGTAAATGGCTGGTAATTGATTTCGAGGCTGCAAACGGTGTGCTTGTGTTGATGGTGATGTAAGCTATTTGCCCTGTAGGAGCATCTGCTATAGTGTTGCACGCTGCAATATAATTTGCTATGGTGCTGTATGTTGCAGCGGTGTAGTGATTCAAATCTGTAAATGACGAGAAAACCAATCAAAACAGAAAATGTAGTGCCGCCCGGAAAACAAACAGATTCAAGAACAAAGAAAATGTGTGAATTGTACGTACAAAGGATCTCACCCTTGTCCAGACCACCAGATTGAGTTGGGTAGTCTGGGTAAAGCTCACAGCTTTTGTACGTGCAATGCTGCATGTCTTTGTGCTTTATTAAACCTCGCAGCGTAGTGGTATTGTTGCTGTGTGTTGTAGTAGTCACGGCATATGCTCCGTGGCAGTGGTGTATGCTGTGGTGCTGCATGTTTCATTGGTATATGCTATGGTGTGCTGAGTATTGTTATAAGCTATGATGCTGCGTACTCGAGTTGTATAAGCTGCTGCGGTGTTGTGTCTGGGTCAGGTGGTGCCAAGATGAGGCAGTGGTGCTGTTGTGTACTGTGGTATCGGTGACGTGGCGTCAAACACAACTCCTTCTGCTCTTTGGAGTTGTGCGGATCGTTGAGTTATTGTGCTCAGGAACTGCTGATGATTTCGTTCGAAGATGCCTGTAACGAGAGACACACACACACGCATACACACGCACAACATGATCCTCTTGTTGATCGTCTCATCTGTGCTGCCGCTCGTTCTCTCCGCGCAGGTGAAGGAAGCGCTGGCTTCGCACTGCACTCTCAGGGTTACTAAATATCGCCGAGCGTGCAGTAGCTTAACGCGCGAGTCACGGGCCCAAGCACACAGGTGGGAAAAAAAACAAGATCCCTTTTGAGATTCCGTGGACCTTGTGGGTCAAGAGCGGACATCAGGAAAATGGCTTCAATGCCCACTTACACATGCGCACACACGCACGCATGCACCCCCGAAGGCAAAGACAAAGATCTACGTGTAGCCTTTAATAGGCCGTTGGGGAAAGTGCTGTGAGCGAGCACCTATGAAGGCCGGCACGGCAGACGAAGGGATGGGTGGCCAACGCCACGGCCGACCGCCTTTGTGTCTCCCGAGTGGCGATGATTTTACACACTGCACCAGGCGCTCAGTTGAGGCCGAGTCGTCCTTACACACAAGCGCATTCGCGTTCTTATCAATGCACCCTCACAAACACGTCTCACACACAATTATATGTGCACATTTATAGTACGTATGCACAAGGAAGTAGTCGCGTGTGGCTAGTAGCACGCCCAGCCACCAATGCCTCCCCCGGTGCTTCTCTCGTATGTTGGAAAGAGCTTGCAATGGGACGTCTAGTTTGGCGATCCACTCAATGGCTTCCCGAGATACTGAGTGGAGAAACGAAGCTAGCCTTCCGCAACAGATCTCAGTGGGCAGGTCGATGCGGTCGATACCTTTCAGGGTCTGGGACTCGTGGCCACAGTCACACTTGGGTGCGGGGGGGGGGGGGGGGTAGTCACATCCATCATCGTCCCCTCTACACTGAACTATACTCAACTCTTTTTATATTTCACCAGGTAAGGCCCACTGAGCTATAGCTGAAGCGACCTGGCCACAAATGATAGATCAGCAAAAGTGGCTTATCGTGTGGAAATGTACAGCAGCCAAATACTCTTGAACACGTGATCTCGATTCTTAATGTGGAAAAAAAAAACCGGAGGACCCAGATAAAAATCCACAAGAACACAGGGAGAGAGACATGCAAACTGCAAATACACAGGCGTCAGGGTCGGGATCGAACCCACGACCTCATGCACACCAGGAGAGGCAGTTAACATCTCGCCACAAATGGCGTCCTGGTGCACTCTTGAAACAGGGCGGGCGTGTCATCGTCCGTGTCCTGTCGTGCGGGTTCGGACGAGTACCGTCCACTGTCTTCGAGGGGGGTCAAAGCCAGTGACCTCTGCTGCTGGGTCAGTGACGAGGCGTCGGCTCTCTATGCCCCGTGCGTCCCACGATTCCGTCCATCAGAATGATGGCTCGGTGCCATCTGCGTGGACAGCGGCTGCTGCTTCGTGAGAAGGCTGGCGTGATTTTAAGCACTTTCGTGGTGGGGGTTTTCAAGTCTTCATTGGTGGGGACTTTGGAGTCGTTGAAAGACTGCATCAGGTACTCATTTAAGACTGCGTTAACTGAGAGGGGGCCTGATCTTTGGTTAAGATAATCAAAGCTGTTGTTGGCTATGGCCAGGAATAAAACCCAGGTCACCAAGTTCCTTGCGCATACAAACAAACGCGCTTGTCCGCCCCCACATCCCAGCTTGCTCATGCTATGACAGTTAAACATGCATGTTACATGCGCGCACACACACACACACACGTGGGCTGCACCGTTCAACGCAAGCCACGGGTTGGTGCGCAGTGTCTGGCAATACTCAAGGTAAGCACTGTTGTATAAGAGGAGGTGAATCTTAAATCATTGTACTCTAGTCATATTGATTGCCAGAGCATGCAAATTAGTGACTTAAAGCTTTCATGACTGCAGTAATTCATACTCTATGGGTCTTTCGGTAAAGTCACGTAGATAGAAAAATAATAAAATAATCAAACATATTTCTACCTGCCTCAGCAGTCCGCCTGCCGTATTTTTTCACCTGAATACGATCGCTTGTGTTGCAATCGAACCGTCGTGATTTTTGTATTGTATTATTTTTCACTTGCCACCTTCTGGCCCACATCATTTTCCTGTTGTCTCTCCACATGACCGAACCACACACACAGCCTTTTCTCTCTCTCTCTCATCTTCTCTGTGACTTCTACCACCTTGAGTCTTCCTCTCACTTCTTAATTTCTCACCCACCGTGTCCTTCCTTGTTAAACCCAACATCCACCGCAACATCCTCATCTCTCGATTTAAAGCTTTCGTGACTGCAAGGATTCATCTTCTTTGGTTCTTTCGGTAAAGTCACGTAGAATGAGAATAAAATAATAAATTGATAAAATAAAATAACACAATAATATTCTCACGACGTTTCGGCCACAACACAAGCGGCCTTCATCAGGTGAAGGGACGAGACTGTCTGGAGGACAGCGCTGGAGTGAACAAAGCCACGCTCAGATCACGACCTTTAAACAGTCTCGTCCCTTCACCTGATGAAGGCCGCTTGTGTTGTGGCCGAAACGTCGTGAGAATATTATTGTGTTATTTTATTTGATCAATTTATTATTTTATTATCATTCTACGTGACTTTACCGAAAGAACCAAAGAAGATCCTCATCTCTGTTACAGCCATAGCTTGGTCCTCCCTCTTTCTTGTGCCCCAGCACTTGGCCCCATACAACAGCACCGGCCTCAGAAACGTCGACTATTATATATATTAGTTTCTCTCAAGGCCACAATGGTATCGACAGACGTTTTGAGGTTGTTTTGCTCACTCACTGTGCTGCTTGAACACCACTGTGTTGTAGCAATGTTAAAAGCACTGTTTTATGGGATTATGGAGTACACAGGACATTTCAGGCAAGGTTAATGACTAATAAAATAAAACAAAATTTTATTTTATTTTTCTACCTACGTGACTTTACCGAAAGAACCAAAGAGTATGGATTCCTGCAGTCACGAAAGCTTCAAATCAAGATTGGTGAATGACTAACTCAAGGTATTAAAAACATCCCCCAAAAAACAAAAAGTTATTGTTTCTGTCACTTTATATACTGAACATCTGAATGTATAAATAGAACATCTAAAAGACACGTACACTTAAGCCAATGACCAAACTGCTTAGGATGCCCAAGGATCTCGTAAGATCGCGGAAGCTAAGCAGAGCTTGGACGAGTGACCACCACGAACGCCTGGTTGTACGTAAGAGGCTGCTGCAGGGATGTGCTAAGTGGTGGTCAGCAGAGAGTGCACTAAAAAAAACATACACTGCTGTTCCTTACTTGTGTAGAGGTGTTACGGGAGGGTGACACGTGGTTGTAGGGCGGTGGCTACAACCACGTCCGCTACGGCCACCACCCTGGGGGGCTGTGGGGGACGCTGTGATCCCTCTCAGCCCCGCCCCTCAGTGAGGGACAGTATAAAAGGTGGGACCCGGGGAGCTGAGGGGCAGTTCGACTCAAGCAAGATGAAGAGCCAGTGAAGAAAGAAGATCGACTAGCCAGACCCTGGAACTCCTCTGGCCCGCTGTCCTTTTGAGGGCCAGGCAAAGCAAGCCAGGGTGCGACACCAGAGCCACGAGGCCCCATGTCCTTCTGAGGGCCGGACTCGTGTGTCTGGTGATCGGGACCTGCGCCGAAGCTGTGCCAGGTCAGACAGCCTCCTGAGAGAGGACCAGGATAGAGGGAACCAGGGAGCTAGCGTGGGCTAAGGCTCGGGAAACGTTCCCTCTGTAGAGTACGGGTGAAGAGGCCGCTACCTCTTCAAGTATCAGATTCGCCCCTGTAATTGAAGTGTTTGTAATAAATACGTGTTGCCTCCAAAGAACAGTCTCCGACGTCAATAAGGCCACTACACTTGTATGATCCCGCGTCTCTTCTCCCCGCCTTCGCCAACCCGCACTGACCAGCGTGGTCAAAGCGCATAAACCCCACGGCCCGCACGGAGTTGGGAGGGCCTCATCCAGCGGTGGAGTGACAAAAAGGGTCTGAACGTGTACTTTCATCTCAGCACACTGAGCTACAGAGGTCAGCCACCGAGGATTCGATTTGGCGTCTCGCTCGACGAGTTGCGGGTCTCCCCTAGGTTGACTCGACCTAAGATATAATACCGAACGTAGCTGCATGTCACAAACGTCAAGACCAGCGCGAGGTCGGCGAGGCATGATGCCGAAGGCTGCTTCACTTCCTCGTGTGCTGTGCTCGCCATGATATAGGCACTCGCTAACACCTTGCCAAAATGATTCATACTTCTATTCATCATAGTCGCTCCCTGTTCAAGTCCAGGTCTCAAGACATTCCTCTTTTCTTCCTCTGCCTACGACTGCCTGCCTCTCGCTCTCTCGCCATTTCATCTTGAGTCGCGGTCGCATTTAAACGCTGTGCACATCAACATTTGAATTGCAGATTGTTATAAATGCAACGGTTGCAGAAGCTATTTTTCCCAAGGGTTACACTTGCAATTACGTGTAGCGAGTAATCAAGAACATGTTTCAAACACAGTGGATGGGACATTGTAAGTTTGAAACGGGGCAAAAAAACTGCACCAGATAGCCAGTCTGATGCCTTTTAAAAGGTGGCCTTTAATAATGAGGCCTTTGGCAGAGAAAGGCCTCATTTTTACGTGAGTGCTATTGAACTCTGGTGACAAACCACTCAGACACCCGACTACATCAAATAACATAATGATCGCACCTGGGAGAGGCACTCAGGCATGCCAGCATGGTTCGACAGAGGAGAGAAAGTAGAATTAGGCCGAGCCGTCTTGGGGCCGACAGGTGGGAGCTGTGTTAAGGCTTTTATATTTTCTCTGGCTGACAGTGAGTGCTAGACTGTGCGTGCGGTGAGTGGTGAGCACACTAAGTGTGAGTGCGAGAGTGTGTGTGTGTGTGTGGGCGGTGAGTGACTATGTTACACGATTTTTGTTCCTGGGTAGTAAGTGCTATTTTCTAATTGCTTATGCCTCAAAAGTATAGAAAATGGCTTTTATTATCCCCCACGAACTTTTGCTTTGTGTGACCAGGACTTTACGTGAAGGAATGACACATGCACACCACGTTTTCTCATTGAAAATAGGTAAATGTCAAAATATCACTGTCCTGGTGACAAAAGCAAAGTTTGTGGGGAATAATAGCCATTTTCTCTACCTTTTGAGGCATAAGCAATTGGAAAATAACACTGTGTGTGTGTGCCTTTGGTGAGTGGTAAACGCATTGGGGTGACTGAGCGCTGCTGGAGTGTGTGCGTAGGGGAGCAGTGGGTGTAGTGGTTAGCACACTTTGATAATAAAAAAAAAATCAGCTCAGCCTCAATTAAGCCAACTGGCGTAGAGCGTTGACATCTGCACTGGGAAGACAAAGGCGGTTGGGCGTGGTGCTGGCTGTACCCCCCCCCTCCCATCCCCCCCCCTACCCCCACCCATTTTCTCTGTGGCCAACCTTCACAAGAGCTCGCAAACATAATTTGCCCCAACAGTCTAATAAGGATAGATCTTCGTGTCAGTGAGTGTGTCCGTGCACGTACGGTCACATTCATAGGAACTCTGGTTGGCCAGCATTCCTGCACATTGACTAAGTACAACCCACATTGCAAAACGACGGCGAGCTAATTTATAGATACTTTTTTTAATATACTGTATTTACACGGCGCAGAGAACAGGTTTATCGTCAGACGCATGTTAGCACGTTTACACTTTGTGCATGGGGAAACGAGCACGGACATAACGAAACCACTCTTTAAGCGTAACATTCTAATGCGAAGTGTTATAGTGCCAATAAATTGCTGCGTTTTTATGCAATTATAGCGCAGCCAAACAAGAATGAAAACTGAATACAGATGAACAAAGATACACATACACGCGCTTATTAAAGCAAGCGTGTTAATACTTATTTACTTTAACAGCAAAAAAAAAACCCGCTATAATTTTAAATATTCATTTAAAGTCGCCTCTAATAGCTCCGTATTATATACACCTGCAATTGCAGAGGTAGTCAATTCGAGTCTATCTCCCGGTGCTGCTGTTGGGACAAATATATAAGGACCATGTCTCTGTCCACCCAGCAGTGTTTAAGTCGATGGACGGTCATGCGCGGTGGGGGTAAAGTGTGGGTAAACTCCCCACCTCTCGCCAAGACATTTGGCCGACGTGGACGAGTAAGCCACACGACTCCCTCGAGGGGCCCTCTCCAGCTCCGTTTAACAGAGGGCCCCTCGACCGGTAATAGGGCTAGCGAGTACCTTGACCCTTTTTTTTTATTCAACCAGATGTAAACGCAATCACATTTGTGTTGTGTGAGCCCTGATGTGGAATCAGGGTCGAGCGCGGACGGGCAGGTTCACACTCACCTCGTGTGAAATTGCAAATGACTGCTCGAGACAGTACGTAACGGGCAGAGTGTTGGGATAAATCACTTGTTCCGCGGCTCAAGATATTTCAGGTTGTTATCGAGATATAATTACTCGTGGTGTTTGCATGTGCGCGCTTTATTATTATTATTATTGTTGTTGTGTTTACACACGCAAGCTCGGAACTGATGTGCACGCGCACACGCAACCACGCACGCACAACAAACATCCCCCGTATAGCCTTAACAGACTTTAGGGGCAAGTGCTGTTAGCGAGCACCTATGAAGGCCAGAACGGCACACGAGGGGGTGGGTGGCCAGCACCACGCCCCACCACCTTTGTCTCCCCAGTGGCGATGTCTACACACCGCACCAGGTACTCATTTGAGGCTGAGTCGACCTAGGGGAGGCCCAGGACCGGTTCAGATAATCGTCACTGGTGTTGGCCGTGAGCGGGAATCGAACCCGGGTCGCCAGCTTCATAGCGCAGCGCGCTAACCGCTACACTACCGCTCCCACGCGTGCACATACACACACGCACAGTTACAGCCTCGATTTCTTTAGTACATAAACGCACACGTGCATACGTATATAACTCACCACATGTACACGGTCTCATTATCACGGGCGAGTGTGGCAGAATTGCCGGCGCACTTGGCTAACTGGCGGCTACCTGGGTTCGATTCCCAACCACAGGCCAACATCGGTGGCCTGTGGTTGGATACAGACGCCTGTATATTTGGAGTTTTGCATGTCTCTCTCCCCGTGGTCGTGTGGATTTTTCTCCGGGTCAGCCAGTTTTTCTCCTCCAAATTTAGAAATATGCATTTAGGGTATTCGACTGCTATAAATTTCCACGTAAGTCACTTCATTGAGCTATCATTTGTGGCCAGGTCGCTTCTGAAAAAGAGCTGGATAGCTCAGTGGGCCTTAGCTGGTAAAATACAAACTATATAGTTTTAAAATAGTTTTAAAATAGTTTAGTTGAACGATGACTGACACTGTGTGGGACTGACACTGTGTGGGAAGGCCAGCAGCCAGTAGTGGAGTGACAAGAGGCTCTAAAAAAATGTTGTATTATTAAACGAGCACAGATGTACACGCTGCACATTGGCTGTAATTTATAACTGTCAAAACGCCTGCGCTATCAACATTTGTCAACTTTTCAATGCCACCATATTTAATGGGTTCACATATCCAGACAGCAAATTGCTTATCTGTAATGAGAGCGCCTCTCTTTCTATTCTGTTAAGGCATCACTCTGCCTATCGACATATCTGAAAAGCATTAGTTGTGTCAACAAATTCGATACAGAGTGCAGGCTCGAAGATTATGCAGGGAACAAAAAACCACAGCGTCTTACAAATTACCAAGGGTCAGAGGCTTCTTAATGGAGCCACAGCTGAGAACTGTGTAAGTAATGCCGCCCTATAGCCGATCAGCGAACAAAGCCTTGGTAGAATGATGCCGGTTAAATAGTAAGAGTGATGCAGGGACAAATGATGCACGGCATTAGCTTCATCCGCAGCTAATGTTGGAGGGCTAACGATTACTCTCGCACTAATACAGGTGAGTTGATTACTTGGGATTACATTACGGATTACAAGCAGGGATATGCAGTCCAATATCATCTCTATCCACTGCTGTCTACTTTGCCGTGTCTCATTGTGCCCTCAAGGCAAGTGGACAGTCAGTCCTCTGCAATCATGATGTACGGATCATTATGCCGAACGTAATCTCCAAAATAGCAATCCCTTTACAGCTAGGCTGTAATCTTATTGGAGCCTGTAATTTTCACTCCACTGCCCCTCCATGCACTCCCGGGCCCAGCAATTCAGGCTATCGAAGCACCCAGCCAAACTTCACCTACTGGGAAGTCGCTCATTCACTTCTTCTTCTTCTGCCCCCGCTGTCTGGAACTCCGTTCCCACAGCCATCCCTGCTGTCAACTCCCAGCCCCTGTTCTCCCCCCACCCGATACGACTGACTGCCTCTTTCCATTAAATGAATACGCCAAATGTGTCTGTGCAGGACTGCTTGTTGTGTTTAGTTTGTTGTCCTTCTCCCGCACCTCCGATTGGCACGGTTGGCTACGTATGGTGCGAAAAAATTTCAACATACATACGGCATCTCTAGTTGTGGTGGCATTTAGACGCTATTTGAATCCAACCTGTAATTTATAAGTGTAACGAATGCTATAGTTGTAGTTGCTTGTCTTAAGCAATTCCCTTCCGGTGATGTTTTGCTAGTTATTCACAGATATCAAACAGCGTGGATGGGACGCAGTCTTTGAAGAAAACTATTAATTCACTGATTATTCTGTGGAACTGCGATGGCAGTGGTAAACAAGCACAAATAACAACAACAAAATCAACACATTCGTCAATAACACTATGGCCTTAAAAGGAAAATAGTATATAACGGTCGACTTTTCAGGGGAAATTACTCTTCTTCACAACGCAGAGTAGGCCGAGTGAGGTAACGTGAGCAATGCAGAGAAAATAAAACGAAAAACTGACACTGACGTGTACTTTTGTGAAGATTTTGAAACGTTGCCTGTGAGGTCGCCTAATTTGTGAAACTCGCCCTCATGGCTGGGCCGATCGCTCCTCTGTGACCGTGGCCGCTATCGGACCGCTTACTCACATCTCCGTTGCCGATGAGTTCACCGTTGCCTCCAAACACCTCCTGTCTCTTCTCTTTCCTCTTATTCTGCACGGAAAAAGGTCAGCGCGCCACACGTCACACACACACACACACACGCGCACGCACGATCAGATTAAGAGCAATGAAACACGAATCCTTTATTCACCCTTGCGGAAGCCACGTTGAGTCTCAAAACATTTGCATGGTTAACTTCACCATATACACCAAAAAAATCCTCGTAATTCGGAAGAGATTAAAAAAAAAACGTCGGTTCACTTAAATCACGTTCACAACAAAACAAAAAAACACCTTGATAGTTGCTGCTGACCCGATGGAGCGTGCCGTCGATCGTAATTAAAGGGATACAAATCGGTACGTGGCCGCACATGACACCTGCATGGCATTTCCGCAGCGAGCAGCACGCGCTAATTACCCACAATTAAGGGGTAATTGCAGGCACTTCTTTGCTATCAAATGGACCATCGCTAATCTGCGTAAACCACCAATCCACAAGAGGTTCGGATCCAATTACAGTAATTCATATTTGTGGTCGCTGGATTAATTAATTTATTATTGTTGTTGTCTCTGTAAAGCCAGCGTGGAGGGGTTGGCGCAGTCGTTTAGCGCACCGTGCTCTAAAACCCCGCAAACACTGAGTTCCCTTTCCAAGCGCGGCTGACATCGTTGCTGAGCGATTATCTGAACCGGTCCTTCCTTCGAGCCACGCTGACAAGCGTCGACTGCAGTTTGGTCCAACAACCCCCGTGGCTGACAAGACAGCATGGGGAGGCCTTCAAACAGCAGTGGATTGGCAAGCAAAGCCAGCGTTAGAATTAACCGTTGCATCTTTTTTTCATGGTGACGGAGGGTGGGTAATGTGTGGGTAACTCCACGCCCTCCGACCTGTTTGACCGGCTTTGACGCACAGGTTAAATGCCCACCGCAGAACGAGTTTGTAGTGTGAGCCATGAACGCGAGCACCGGCGTATAGAAACGACCTTTACATTTTAGCCCAACGTAAACACTCTGGTGCCGAGTCTAACCGTGCACTCCGCTGTGTATCCGTCATCGGAGGTAATATCATCTGTTATTTTTGCAACGGCAATAAATTGCATTCCTGGTGGTCCAGTGGGGTGTCGACCGTGCGTGAAGAACTCGCGTGCTGCTAACTGTCGCACGAGTGGGATTTCCTTCACAAGTCACAGCGATTTCCGACTTTGGATGAGCAATTCAGACGATGCTCATCTCCAGTTAACAGCCTGTGGTGGAAATTCTCCATTCCCATGGCAGAGGTGAGTCTATCCAGACTATCCATAGGATAACCACCATTGACTTTGCCACAAAGTGGTACTCATTTTATGGACCCCAGAGAGACGATGGGCCGAGTCAACACCAACCAGGGTTTGAACTCGCAGACCATGACCTTTGCACTCTGTTGCTGCACCAGCGCAGCCAGATCTATGTTTTAGTTGCTGAGTGCATGCCCAAAGGCTTCAAATGCTAAGCGACTAGCAACAAATAGCACTGTAAGAGTTGGAGTCGACACGAATTACGATGTTCCTAGGCTTGAGCTTGGTGAAAAGCGTTCGGTTCAGAGACGATGGGAGGGAATTACAAAGTTGAGCGAAGAATCAAGAGGGAGAAGTGTTTGACATATATACAAAGCCAAGGACAAAGATCCCCTGTGTAGCCTTAAATCATTAGTGAGCACCTAAGAAGGCCGACACGGCACACGAGGGGGTGAGTGGCCGGGAACACGCCTGGCCGCCTTTGTTTCCACATAGGCGATGTTTACACATCACACCGGGTGCCCATTTGAGGCTGAGAGGGCCAGGACTGGTTCAGATAATCATCACTGGTGTTGGCCATGTGCGCAGCGCAAAGCACTGCACCATTGCTCCCCACTTGACATATATACACGCGCGCAAACACTAAACCTGCATACAATTATTAAATGCTGCTCATTAAATTGCAAGAAATGTGAAACCAAATAGACCAAGTATATCAATACGGCAGAGTAAAATTCGTTTTTGCTTGAGTCCAGGCACGCCGCGTCCAAGGTTCACGAAACACATTTAACTTCTGACTAAGGATGGCATTATGCGGCTCATTGCAGATATTCCCCGGTGAAACGAGTCACTTCATTTGGCTGTCGTCTGCATCTGTGCTTCTTCACCTGTGGTTTATCGAAACACCGTGCGTGGTCCAAGCTTCGTGTGTCGTTTGTGTCTATGGGTGGTGGCGCAGCGGTCGGCGCGCTGTGATGCTATCCCGGCGACCCGAGTTCGATTCCCGTTCGCGGCCAACGCCGGTGACGATTATATGAACCACCCTGCGCCTCCCCTAGGATGACTCAGCCGCAGATGAGTACCCGGTTGCGATGTGTAAACATCGGCACTAGGGAGACAAAGGCGGCTGAGCGTGGTGCTGTCCATCCCCCCCCCCCCCTCGTGTGCCGTGGCAGCCTTCATCAGTGCTCGCTAACAGCACTTTCCCCAACAGTCTGTTTAAGGCTTCATGGGGGATATTTGTCTTCATCTTATACGTACATATTTCATGTATGGCACGCTGCACTTCGTGGATTTAAAATTGATTCACAATCGGGAAGCGTGCGCACATTGGATTCTGCGCGTATGGACCCGCACACATTACATGCCAGCGATAAGATATCCCTGTGGCGAGTGGAGGGGAGGGCACACAGCAAATGAAAAGGACAATACATGCGTACATTCGTACATGCGTACATGCGAGACGTTTGCGGTACACACGATGCTCAAGCTAATGAGTCGTTGAATTGTGACCGTCCAAGTAATGACAATTCACCAAAACAACGGGAGGGGCGCTTTGTCAAATGCCGACTCAATATATTCCGTAATTTTATCAATGTACACGCATCACATGCATGCATTGCGGCGACATGTAATACAATTGGGAGTGTCAATTGTATTTGATGCAAAGTACGTGCACTGGCGGAGCCAGTGGGGGGGTGGGGGTGGCACGTGGCCCCCCAATGATGCGATCGAAATCCCTAATTTCGTTCGGATCATTGGAGTTTATTAACAATAAATCGGCATTTTGCGACCCCCACTGCCACTGTGTAGCATATTATTACGTGCCATGGACTCTATGAGATGATAGGACAATAGTCTGAGTCCATAATTGGCAATAAGTAACGGCAAAGCGGTTATAAGTGACTCACAGAATTGCGCGCAGTTGCGTATACAGAGTCCACGACTTCCCTGAAGGCATCGACACCTTCAGCGGTTCGAATTCGACCCCACGATCGACGGCTGCGCCATCGCCGTGCACGCGTCGAATAAAAAGCAAGGGACAGGTCCTCACTTGCTAACAACTCCTCTCTCATTTTCATTACTGGAGGGGTTGCCGCCCCCCCCCCCCCTACCTGACAGTCCTGGCTCCGCCATTGCGTACGTACGTAATTCGATTCCACGTTGTGCTGCGCCGCACATTGGACACGCACGTGTGCACATACGTGATTAAAATAAAGTGCAGCAATAGCGGCCGCGAATGGGTGTCTGTTGTCGGCATCTCATTAACCCCTTCCCGGCCTGGTTACTCGCGCGGCGCCCACCGCCGCCCAATGTCACCGCCGCCTGACGAAATCGTCTCCCACGCCTTCCACAGCAACAGGTGCCGAGGGGGGAGAGTGCGTCAGGCACCCCACCGGCCACGCCGGGAGCGTGACGCATGCACGAGATCCATGGGATGTCAGGTGGTGTGCGCAGAGCATCATTCGTTCAGTCAACGGGAGGCAATGGGGCTGTTTCGTCTCACTGGTGTTGGCCGGTGGGGAAGGCGCGGGGGGGGGGGGGTGGGGGAGGGACGGGAGGGGGTGTGGAGGATAGGGGGCGCGGGGGGGGGGGTCTTCAAAGTGTCACGCTCCGAGCGACGCAGCATCGGCGGTGAGGTGCGAGCAGCACTCACCACTCGGTGCAGCATGCCCAGCACGCTCTTGTCGCGGTTCTCATCCAGCCCACCGCCCCTCACGCGCCGACTGGTTGGTGAGCTTCCATTGGAGGGTGAGCCCTCGCTGGTGGATGAGCTCCCATTGCTGGCTGAGTGTGGTCCATTGTGAGCGGCCACCTTGTCTGCCTGAAATTGCCCCCGAAACAACGACAACATTGTCATCTTTAAAATGATCACCGTTATCAATCATACATCAATCATACATCATCCAATCATAATTATTGTCCACCATTCACTATCACCATCTATCATCCATCCACCACCATAATCCATCCAGACATTATCTATCCATCACCATTATTTATCCATCCTTTCAATAATATTATCGTCGTGCCATAACCCATCCATCATCTATTTATCACCGTCATCAATCTTCATCATCGTCGTAAGCGTCGTCACCATGGTAATTGTCAGTCATTGTTATCACTATTTAATCAACAGTTTAACACTAAATTTCCTGTTAAATTCCCAATAACAGGGCGCTGATGTGGAGAATTGCCCTTCTGCTTAAACGACCCAACTCTTGTTTTATCTCTGTTTATTTTGTTGCACTTAGTTCAATGCGTTTCTGTTTGTCTGCTTGTAAAGTGTTCAATGTAGGACTTTGAGATGCTTTTGTATTTAGATGCTTTATGAATTCAAAATTTAATTGTCACAATCATCATCAATCCCGAATAATCAACATATTTGAACTAATCCATTATAATCACCGCTATCCATCACTACACTCTGCCACCTACTCTATAAGTCATCATTATCATCATGCTGGTTTATGCCACCAGTATCACTGGCCACAGTTTAATACGTTTAAACGAGAGTACTGCAAGTGTGAGCACAAGGCGGGCTAGATTAATCACCCCGACACGAGTCAATCTGGTTTCATACAGCGTCCAAAATTCAACACCGCCTCATGATGCTGCACGCACACACACAAAAAACCACTTACACTTCGAGACCATCGATGTCACAATTTTAAACAACGTCTTGATAAAATGGTGAAATCTTAACTCTATGCGCACACAGGCCTCAGGAGATCACCCGACAAAGCGCGACGCTTTCAGGGCAACACGTGGACCCGTAACTGACACGAAGCTACCCCAAGCTGGCGCGTGAACGTACAAAGTAGCCAATCGTCAAAGACACCTGCTGGAATTGCATTTGTGTGCGCGCTCCCTGGTGCGTCATTTCTCTTGAAGTGCCAACGGCATTGAGTTTCGAATGCTCACTGAAGCGTGAAAAGGCTACGTCATAACAAAGCAACAGCTGGGCCAAGCGACTTGCTGCAGACAAGCTGATGGAATAAAAGGCCCAACGTCCCATTTGCAGTTCGGCTCACTCGACTACCCTGTGTGCAGCCCCCATTATTGCCCCATCCCACTGCCATCACCCCATCCCACCATCAACCAATCCCAGCACCACCATCTCATCCCACCATCACCCCATCCCACCATCGACCAATCCCAGCACCACCATCTCATCCCACCATCACCCCATCCCACCATCAACCAATCCCACCACCACCATCTCATCCCACCATCACCCCATCCCACCATCAACCAATCCCACCACCACCATCTCATCCCACCATCACCCCATCCCACCATCAACCAATCCCACCACCACCATCTCATCCCACCATGACCCCATCCCACCATCAACCAATCCCACCACCACCATCTCATCCCACCATCACCCCATCCCACCATCGACCAATCCCACTACCACCACCTCATCCCACCATCGCTCCATCCCACCATCGACCAAATTTATAAACTGAGTGAAAATGCCACCACTCTTTAAAATGACACAGTTCAGTGTCAAAAAACAGTTGCGCCAAAATGTTTACAAAACAGTAAAAAAATATAGATATAATGTAGCCACTCGCCAGACACCTGCTGGAAGGTTACATTCAAGACTAATTACAGTGGATTTGATTTCATAAAATAATTTGACAATGTTTGTTAATCAGATGAAGCATATTGATTTAACAAAAAAGCGTTTAAAGAGCCGCTCTTGTAAGGGTCTGAAAGTGTTTATTTGATTCTGCTGGTTTTTAATATAGTTCTTGAAATGCGACATCACCCCTTATCCAATAACTATCAGAATAAGTGAAGTTTAATTAATAGCAGAATTGTCTTTGAACAATTTAAGAACAACAATACCATTTTTTCCTGAAATGCAATTAAACCAGAATTGTGAACAATCTTTTAATTCAAATGTAACATAAATTCGAAGCTTTCGTGACTGTAGGAATTACTCTTTGGTTCTTTCGGTAAAGTCACGTAGAAAATAAATTATTCTATTATTTTATTATATTATTAGTATTCTATTATTTCATTTCTTTCTACGTGACTTTACCGAAATAACCAAAGAGTGTAACATATTATATTTAATGTATGACATCACGTGAAACGCTTTACAAAGGATGCTTTAATTACTCTGATGGAAAATGACTCAATTGAATGCTAACGAGGCAGCAAAGATGGGGACGACGCTGCTCAACAAAACACGAGCGCACACACCAACTTGCACAACCCTCACGAAGACAAAGATCCCCCGTGTAGCCTCTAACAGACTGTTGGGGCGAGTGCTGTTAGCGAGCAACCTATGAAGGCCGGCATGGAGCGTGAGGGGGTGGGAGGTCAACACCACGCTCGACCGCCTTTGTCTCCCCCCAGTCGATTCAGATAATCGTCACTGATGTTGACCGGGAGCGGGTCGCCGGGTTCGTAGCGCGGCGTAGCGCTAACTGCTACACAACCGCTCCCACACAACCCTAACGTGCGCACGCTTCTTCACAGCAGCACAATTCACCGCACGTCCCAAACACGTGCGCACATTTGCAGCCAACGGTTTAACGCGTGAAATAATGCGTGCTAGCGCACGTGCACATACAAAAACGCGTTCGTGCACTCAAACACGTACACACGCACACACGTGAACGCGCGTACTTTTATCTTTAAATAAATTAGATAGCGCCTTGTGCAAGGCGCTTTTGCACAGAATTAAGAGTGGTACATAGGAATACAACGGTGGAGATGAGGTGAATGAAATAGATGAGAGGAAGCGATTGGGGGGGGGGGCGGCAATGGCAGAGGCAGGATTTTCAGGTAGGGGGGGGGCAACCCCTCCAGCAATGAAAAAAATATAGAGGAGTTGTTAGTAAGTAAGGAGTTGTTAGTAAGGAGTTGTTAGTAAGTAAGGAGTTGTTAGTAAGTAAGGAGTTGTTAGTGAGTAAGGAGTTGTTAGTAAGTAAGGAGTTGTAAGGAGTTGTTAGTAAGTAAGGAGTTGTAAGTAAGGAGTTGTTGGTGAGTAAGGACTTGTTAGTAAGTAAGGAGTTGTTAGTGAGTAAGGAGGTGTTAGTAAGGAGCTGTTAGTAAGTAAGGAGTTGTTAGTAAGTAAGGAGTTGTTAGTAAGGAGTTGTTAGTAAGTAAGGAGTTGTAAGGAGTTGTTAGTAAGTAAGGAGTTGTAAGTAAGGAGTTGTCAGTAAGTAAGGACTTGTTAGTAAGTAAGGAGTTGTTAGTGAGTAAGGGGTTGTTAGTGAGTAAGGAGTTGTTAGTAAGTAAGGAGTTGTAAGGAGTTGTTAGTAAGTAAGGAGTTGTAAGTAAGGAGTCGTTGGTGAGTAAGGACTTGTTAGTAAGTAAGGAGTTGTTAGTGAGTAAGGGGTTGTTAGTGAGTAAGGAGTTGTTAGTAAGTAAGGAGTTGTTAGTAAGTAAGGAGTTGTTAGTAAGTAAGGAGTTGTTAGTAAGGAGCTGTTAGTAAGTAAGGAGTTGTTAGTAAGTAAGGAGTTGTTAGTAAGGAGTTGTTAGTAAGTAAGGAGTTGTAAGGAGTTGTTAGTAAGTAAGGAGTTGTCAGTAAGTAAGGACTTGTTAGTAAGTAAGGAGTTGTTAGTGAGTAAGGGGTTGTTAGTGAGTAAGGAGTTGTTAGTAAGTAAGGAGTTGTTAGTAAGTAAGGAGTTGTTAGGAGTTTTTTAGTAAGGAGTTGTTAGTAAGCAAGGAGTTGTTAGTAAGAGTTGTTAGTAAGGAGTTAGTAAGTAAGGAGTTGTTAGTAAGGACTTGTCCCTTGCTTTTTATTGGACGCGTGTGCGGCGATGACGCAGCCGTCGATCGAGGGTCGAATTCTAACCGCGTTGTGTGATCGGCATCGCGCTCGCTGAAGGTGTTTGCCTTCAGGGAAGTCGTGGACTCTGTATACGCAACTGCGCACAATTCTGAGTCACTTATAACTGCTTTGCCGTTACTTATTGCCAATTATGGACTCAGACTATTGTCCTATCATCTCATAGAGTCCCTGGCACGTAATAATATGCTACACAGTGGCAGTGGGGGTCGCAAAATGCCGATTTATTACTAACTAGCTGTACTACCCGGCTTCGCTTGGGACTTGGATTCACCACACCCGGCCGCCTTTGTCTCCCCTGTGGCGATGTTCACACACCACAGCAGTTACTCGTTTGAGGCTGAGTCGACTTAGGGGAGGCCCAGGATCGGTTAAAATAATCGTCACCGGTGGTGGCCGTGAGCGGGAATCGAACTCGGGTCGCCGGGTTCGTAGTGCAGCATAGCGCTAAGCACTACACTACAATGCGTTACGCTTCCACGTGCGCGGGTCACATGACAGATGTGACGTCACAGCTCACTTGGCGTGCAATAAAAATAGATGCATTATTGAGCCCCCCCCCACCAAAAAAAGTGTCTTTATATATTTTTGCACGGTGTACAGTCTGGAAAGTACCCACGTGGAAAATTTCAAGTTTGTTGCATGTCGGGAAGTACACTAAACATTTTGAACAGACACACATTCACAACTTTTCCGTTTATATATCGATCGAATCATTCGGGGGGGCACGTGCCACCCCCCCCCCCCAACCCCACTGGCAGAGCCTGTGGGGGGGGGGCAAATCTGCGATGCGTGAATTCGGTGAAAGCAAAATTGATGGCAGTAAATGATGACGATGAATGGATTGAATGAATGGGGGAATGAGTGAAAGCCGTGTAATGAGAATGTGAAAATGTAAAAGTAGGGGCGACGGTTATGAGGGGGAGATTAAAGGGGTCGTGGGGTGAGCTCTGGAAAATCACCGAGTTTTGAGTACGGAGTGGAAACTAGTGAGCAAAGGTGACTGTTTAATACATACACACACACGTGCACACAGGCACAGACATGCATACACGTACACACGGGCATGGCTCACATATACAAACATACAAAGACCTCGCCCCCCCCCACCCCGACTAGCCTAATCAGTGCTGTTAGTGAGCTCCTATTAAGGCCAGCAGAACACGCGGCGGGGCGGGGGGGAGAGGCAGCACCACGCCCGGCACGCCTTTGTCCCCATAGTAAAGATCTTTACACATCACACCAGGTACTCATTTGAGGCCGAGTCGACGTAGGGGAGATCTAGGACCAATGTAGATAATCGTCACTGGTGTTGGCGATGAGCGGGAATCAATTTCGGCTCGCCGGGTTCGTAGCGCAAGTGTGCTAACCGCTACACTACAAACATACACACACACATGCACAACGACAGATTCCCACCTGTATAATAATCAGAAAGTTGGGGCAAGTGCTGTTGGCGAGCACATATTTTGACCAGAATGACGCATGAGTGATGGTGTGGCCAGCACCTGGTGCCTCTGACTCCCCAGAGCCGACGTTTATACACTGCACTAGATATTGAGTTTAGGTTGAGAGTCAACCTAGGGGGAGACCTATAGGACCGTTTTGGATATCACTCTCCACTGATGTTAGCCAAGGCCAGGCATCGAACCGAGGTCGCTGGGTTCGTTGCGCAGTTCTAAAACCACCACGTCACTGCTCCCCACATGCCAACACAGGAAGACAAAGGTCGCCCATGTAGTCTACACACGCTGCAAAACACAATGCTGCTGGCAAAAATCTATGAAGACTGTCATCATGGCATTCAAGAGAGTGGTGTGGCCAGGACCACATTTGGCCACCTTTGTCTCCCCAGCGCTGATGTTTACAAAGCACACATACAAACACAAAACATGCACGTGCACACAAAGACACAGACCCCCCCCCCCCCCCGTACAGCCTTAACAGACTGTAGAAGGCAAGTGCTGTTAGCGAGCACCTATGAAGGCCGGCACGGCACACGAGGGGGTGGGTGGCCAGCACCACGCCCGGCCGCTTTTATCTCCTGAGTGGCGATGTGTATACACCGCATCAGGTGCTAATTTGAGGCTGAGTCGACCTAGGGGAGGCCCAGGACCGGTTCAGATAATCGTCACTGATGGTGGCTGTGAGCGGGAATCGAACCCAGATTGCCAGGCTCAATGCGCAGTGCGTTTACCACTACACTACCGCTCCTCCCGCACACACGCACGCACACACGCACGCACGCACACACACACGCACGCACACACACACACGCACACACGCACGCACACACACACACGCACGCACACACACGCACGCACACACGCACACACACGCACGCACACACGCACGCACACACACACACGCACACACACACACGCACGCACACACGCACGCACGCACACACACACACGCACGCACACACGCGCACGCACACACGCACACACACGCACGCACACACGCACGCAAGCACACAGTCAAAGGCACCTGTATGGACGACACATTAATTACATCTAAGTGAGACCCACTCGCCCGTGTGCAGCAGATTGCACATTGTGTTGTTTCTATTAAATGCTGATAAATATTCCGCGTGCAGCTCGCGCTCTTAGGAGCCAAGGGCTCTTGTGCTCAAGTGCAGCGTCCTGCTGTTGCCTGTTGACTCAGGAGTGGGTGGCACAGCAGTGACCTTCAGAGGAAACAATTTCTGTCGGCAGCCTCTCCAAGAAAATAAGGCCATGGCTCAGTCTACACGATGACTGAGTACTACCGCCAAGAAGGGTTAGTGGGCTTGGGCATCCACACGTCGCTAAGAGAGAGGATGGCCGGTGGTCGAGACTAATGACGACGTGGCAACCAGGATGTCCGGCACGAAGATGGAGTGATGAGATGTATGCTCGTGCGAAAGGTGTGTGGGTGCTAGGTGGATTGTTACATTGCAGGACCGTGAGAGAGACCGACGGCATGGGGAGGGGCTTTGTCCAGCGGTGGAGAGATCTAAATTGAAAACTCATTTCTTTAGAAACTGCCTTTTTGTGTTTATTTTTTGTTCCTTCCCTGGCACATCCGATTAGCACGGTTGGCTACGTACGGTGTGAAAGAAGTTCAACATACATGATTACTGTATTTTAGAGTTGCATTAATGGACTATTGAAATAAGCATTTAATATATTATTGCTTTGATGCCAATTCCTAGACAGTCTGGGAATTGGCATCTGTGTTAAGTTGGTAGGAATGGGTTTGTACCGAGATCTGGTACCAGTATTGTGTTGAACTTTAAACAGTGTACTGCACCGTTATGACAGACCTACACTGATAAATGTCTGTGGTGGATAAAGTGGCGACCTGCATCGCGAATGACATTGTCAGTTTGGTCATGAGGCTGAGATAATAATACTTTCATTTTACAGTATATAGCGTCATTCATGCTAATAGCATCCCATAACGCTGAGATGCCCTCTCGTTTGGGCAAGGACGTGAATGGAGCAGAATCTGTTATCGTCGTCGATTTCCAATGTCCTACAGAGTTAAACTGCCGTGCTCAAGGAGGGCATCAGAGCTGCCAGCGGTGGCAATGAGAAATGCTTGTGCCCTCGTGAACTACGCGGCGGTCCTGCGCGCCAGAGTGAGACGGCATTTGGTAGCTTCGTCCCAATTCTCTCACCTCTGCTTTTGTCTTCGTGGCTTTGTCGCTGTCGTCCTCCTTCTTGGTCTGGGGGGACAATTTCATGAAAAGCCGGTGAGGGTGATGCCGTTGGTGATGGACGATGCGATGTGTGTGATGGCACGTGTTTGTTGTACAATGCACGGTGTGATGGGACGTGTTTGTTGTACAATGCACGGTGTGATGGGACGTGTTTCCTGTACAATGCACGGTGTGATGGCACGTGTTTGTTGTACAATGCACGGTGTGATGGGACGTGTTTCCTGTACAATGCACGGTGTGATGGCACGTGTTTGTTGTACAATGCACGGTGTGATGGGACGTGATTGTTGTACAATGCACGGTGTGATGGGACGTGTTTGTTGTACAATGCACGGTGTGATGGGACGTGTTTCCTGTACAATGCACGGTGTGATGGGACGTGTTTGTTGTACAATGCACGGTGTGATGGGACGTGTTTGTTGTACAATGCACGGTGTGATGGGACGTGTGTGTTGTATAATGCACGGTGTGATGGCACGTGTTTGTTGTACAATGCACGGTGTGATGGCACGTGTTTGTTGTACAATGCACGGTGTGATGGGACGTGTTTGTTGTACAATGCACGGTGTGATGGCACGTGTTTGTTGTACAGCAGGGGTGGGGAACCTTTTCCTTACTGAGCACCGAATAGTTTTTTTCAAATACAATCTAGATTTCAAATACCTCTGCCAAGCTACTTAGACTATTGGCTGCCCATCGAAACGACGATTGTTGTCTTGGAAGCTTGGAGTTAGTTTATGTTATGCTTTGCTTTCTTGTTATTATTTTTCAATGTATAATTGTGTTTTTTATGCATGAAAATTTATGGCTAAAAATAATGATCTAGTTGACACAGGGCCGCACGTTTTTAACACACACCTTCATGGTATCCATTTAAAACGCAACATATAACGTGCGTGCCGATTGAACGTAGATACTCCCTTGCATTGTCATAACTGACCGAGCACACCAAAATTAGACACACAGGTTGAAAATATTCCGCCCTCGAGTACCCGATCGGTGCAGCTAAGATTCCTAGCTGCACCGATCATGGCCTCATGTAGTTGCAGGCCGCATGAAACGAAGTTTCGGACGTCAGGCTCCCCGCCGCTGCTGTGGAAGCGGGCGAGAGCGGTGAGCAGTGGCGTGCGGTGGTGGTAGTGGTGGCGGCGGTGGTGGCGTGGGCGTTGGCGGTAGCGGTGGTGACGGTGGTAGTGGTGGTGCGTCGTTCCACTCACTATTTGAGAGAAGAACTTTGAGAAGGCGTTATCTTTGCTCTCAGAGGATTTGGCCCCTCCATCCGTTTTGTTGGCCACCTCCTTTGCCTGCTTACGACGAAGACCCAACTTTTTACCACCATACGTCGAAATAATAGCCCATCAAACTCATTAGGAATTTTAAAAAAAATCCTCGAAGAGATGTCATCTTCAGGGTTTCAAGTTAATTGTGGTGATCTAGGTCACCAAAAGAACGGAAGGCAAAAATAAATCAAAACAAAAACAACCGTGTGTTGCAAGAGAATTCTAAAATATTGCACAAACATGAATCAACATTTAATAATAAATCCCGTGTTGTACAAGTCGGCTCGGGGAGATTATTTTTTGACTGATCGTAGTCCAATTACACAATTATGTTCCAGTAACATTCAACAGACAGTACTATCGTACATATTAGTACACATTTATATATTAGTACTATATTAGTAATATTAATTTAAATTAGTAATATATTACTAATATGTAAACACAGACAAGGATATATTAAGTGAAGTTATCATAAAGAATCGACAATTTAGCATCCCTTTGTGATTTAGATTAGAAAGTAACTGAGGGCGTTTTTGAAGCGATGGAATTTCAGGTGTTTGGGGCTCTAAAAGAGAAGTGACAGAGAACCATAGGATTAATGTCCCTTAGTACAGTGCAGTTTATGGTTGTAGGGTTATCTAAGAATGTGAGGGTTCTGATCCTGAATAACCACTTTGGATAGCATGTGGGTGTGACGTTGCATTTCTCTCACCTCTGCTCCAGCCTTCTCTGCCTCACTGCCCGGCTCCACCTTCTTGGCCTGTCAGCACATTCATCGCTATTGCTTTACGGCCTCGACTTTTCAAAGTCCAACTTACCTAACCAAGACTGTTCAATGACGGCGTAAGTGAGCGAGATTATTAATTCTAGTTGTGGGTGAGGAGTCCATTGTCATAGATGTGTGGGGTGTGTTGTCTGATTTTAATTACACAAGTCTTGAGTCATCATTCTCCCCAGCAATGCAATTAATCTTTATTATTCACAGTCACGCTTCGAGTTTTGAGAATCAATTATTTGTCTTGGTTTTTACCATCTTGCGTGTATTGTTTAATTAAATGTTTCCAGTCCAGTTCGTAGTTTTATTTCCTCCATTAGTCTAATTATAACATTAGCATACCATTTTCATGAATTATAAATAATAAATTCTCAAGTGCACAATTTAACGCATGCAATATTAGCATACAAATAGATGTTAAGTGATGAATCGTTGTATCATGACACGTCTAATGTTCGTTTTTTTTTCTTCACAAGGCGGGGTTTAGCACGGAAGAGTCAATCCCACACAAAGCCTCCACTAGGCCCAATGTATAATAAAGGCAGTGGCCCTCACAGACCCTGCGCACTATTGTTGCTTTCTCCTTGTCCAAACTCAGGGGCTTCACTGACCCCTAAAGGCCCTAGATCGGCAGATAACCGTCAGGATGTTCACTAACCATGTAATGGCTCATTTACCAAGTCCGAGTTTTACATCGACTATACGTGCATTAAATTGTCCACCTGAATTTTTTTTGCAAATGACACGTAAATTATATGCTCATAATAACGGTTTTTGGGTGAGATTGCGTGAGTATAAATGTGCCGGTGGGCTGAAGTCGTAACTATCTGGAGTTTTGTTTACGTGACAAATACCTTACTGATTGGCCATGTCCGGTGGTGAAGGTTTCGACACATTTATAAATAACGCGATCTAACCCAAAAAAACCTTTATTATGAATAATATTGATCGTAAAAGACTACGTGTTAAACCAAATTACATGCTATTATTGCATTCATGCTAACGGTATGGACCAAACTCCGGCAATGCGAGAGAAAAAAGAAGAAACGATAAAAAAGAGATGGTATCTAACAAAACAAATACATTGTGCTTGATTCGAATCGCTACTATTAATCGTGACAATTCATCAAATTGCTGGAAAGGTGATGGGAGGCACATTTGTCACATGCCCTGTTACCGTCAGTGTGAAGGCAGGGCATTGGTTTGGTGGGTTACAGTGCTTGGCGGTAATGTGAGTTGTTATCAGGTGATGTAACATGATGTAGTTGTGTCTTTGGCTGCTTAGGAGTTGTCCTTACCTCTGCTTTCGACTGCGTGTCCTTGCTGGGCTCATCGGTCTTCATGGACTGTGGGTACATTGGCAGGCTTGGTGAGGAGAAGAAGCAATAAAGGAGGCGCCAAATCTCATGTGTTCCTACAGCCAATGCCAAGATTCCATGGACTTTGTTCAAATTCACGACTTCCATAACCACCGTGACCTCTGTGACGAAGTCGCAGCCATAGTCACATTCGGTATCAAGCACCCTGTGTGCCGGTGTAGGGAATGCCGAGGCCGGTGTCATGTGGGCAGATATAGCGCCGGTTATGTTACCAGCCGTCGGAAGAAATTGTTGACGGGATTCTGCTTGGTCTCCGCCGTGGTGCTGCTCTCCACTTTCTCGCTCGTCTTTCCTCCGGCCTGCTCGCACAGACGACTCACTCGGTCACACGCCTAAGCTCCGATTCTTCACTTTGGCAGAAAGGAAGTAACTGAATGGTAAAGACTGATTTAGGGTTACACCTCACCTCGGCTGTGACGTCCGTCTTACTGGCCGGCTCTCCTTTCTTGGGCTGCTGACACAACCGCAAGGGTAAAAAAACCTATTACTATGTAAAAAGGTAAAAACCTATTACTATATCTTGCTACTGGCAAAGGAGGTCTCATAGTGTAAATGCTTACCCCGAGCTCTCAATACTCTGATAGTGCGCTGTTTTTGAGTTGTACGCCTTTTGGCGTCATCTGGTCCAACACCAGTGGAGACTAGGCTCTAAGAAAAGCCGTCTCAGGTGTAGACCAATCAATTTCAAGGACAGTGCATATCATTATTAGAGTTGTCTCTTTTTGTTTGCATTTTGACTGCTTGTGTTGTGGTTATTGCAAACATGATCCCTTGTATAGAGGTGTCAGTTTTGGTGCCAGATAAAAGGGTAAAAACCTATTACTACAACCGCAAGGATTGTTTTAAAATCTCAGTTTGGTTACGTCACACCTGAACGTACAGACGAACCAGTTCTCTTAATATAATTGCGGGGGCTATTTGCAAATAAGAGGAAGATTACCCTTTTTCACCAATAGTAATTATGAATCATAATTTCAACTTGTAATGCACCGCACGGTATTCACTCACTCTGGTGGTGTGCAGTGTTTGGCGGTAATGTGAGTTAGTTATCGGTTGGTGTAACATGATTCAGTTGTGTCTTTGTTGGCTTAGGATTTGTCCTTACATCCGCTTTCGACTGCGTGTCCTTGCTGGGTTCATCAGTCTTCATGGACTGTGGGTACATTGACAAGACTTGGTGAGGAGTAGCTGTGTGTGCTGTGTGTGGGGAGCAGTAGTGCAGCAGTTAGCATGCTGCACATTTGAACCCGGTGATCCGAGTTTGATTCGCGCTCATGGCCAATACTAGTTATGATTATCTGAACCAGTCCTCGGCCTCCCTTAGGTCGATTCAGCCTTAAATGAGTACCTGGTGTGGTGTGTAAAACATCACCACTGGCGCTAATCTAAGTCACTTTTTATGCCGTGCTGGTCTTAATCGGTGCTTGTTAACAGCATTTGATCCAACAGTCTGCTTAAGGCTATATAGGAGATCTTTGTTTTTGGCGCTGTGTGTGGATTCACGGGAAGACAGGTAACCCGTGTGGGTGCTGTGAGGTGGCTATGCCTACAGCTACATCGTTGGCACAGTCATTCTTAGTAAAATTGGCAGCTGAGGTGTGGCAGTGCCCCATCTAGAATTAGCTTTTAAAAATCAAATTAATGTTTTCTTCATTTAAATAACTGTTAAAACATCCATACAAATGAAAATCAAGTGGCTAATCTAAGTCATTTTGTAATAAAAACATATATTTTTTTAAACATACGCTGCTATCAGCACATTGTTTTTTTACGTAATAAAAGAGGCGCCCCAAATCTAGCATGTTCTTATGGTCAATGCTAAGATTCCACGGACTTGGTACAAATTCACGACTTCCGTAACCACCGTGACCTCCGTGACAAAGTCACAGCCATAGTCACGTGCGGTATCAAGCACCCTGTGTGCCGGTGTAGGGAATGCCGAGGCCGGTGTCCGGTGGGGAGACGTAGCGCCGGTTTCGTTACCAGCTGTCGGAAGAAATTGTTGACGGGATTCTGCTTGGTCTCCGCCGTGGTGCTGCTCTCCACCTTCTCGCTCGTCTTTCCTCCGGCCTGCTCGCACAGACGACCCACTCAGTAACACGCCTAAGCTCTGTGTCTTTACTGTGGCAGAAATAAAGTAAATGAATGGTAATGACTGATTTAGGGTTAGGCCTCACCTCGGTCGCGACGTCTGCCTTACTGCCCGGCTCCTCTTTTTTGGGCTGCTGACACAACCGCAAGGATTGCTTTAAAATCTCAGTTTGGCTACTTCACACCTAAATATACAGACGAATATCTTCTCTTAACACAATTGCGGGGGCTATTTGCAAATCGTGGGAAGATGACCCCTTTTCAAAAATAGTAATAATCCGCACCTCCGATTAGTACAGTTGGCTACGTACGGTGCAGCAGAAGTTCAACATACATATATACAATGAATCATAATTTAAACTTGTAAAGTACCGCACAGTTATTCGCTCACTCTCAAAGAGGGAGACGACTTTACCCCCCCACCCACCCCAGCCCAGCTCTGTGGTCCTCTACACGTTGAGGTGTTATTAATTATCGGCCAATTCATTAATTGGATAATTCATTACAATTAATGAATACTTACATGAAGATCGATTGTGCAAAATTACTAAACATTTTCATATGGACACCCAAAGGTTGTAACTGGTAATAGGATTTAGGAAAATATAACTCCTTGTGTGTATTTGATGGTGATTTTAAGGGGTGACACTCAACTTTTCCATATCATGGCCACATCTTATAGCCGACACCCTGGCGGTCACCCATCCAACTACAAACCAGGCTCAAATCTGCTTAGGTTCCGAGATTTGACGGGATCCGGCACATTCAGGGTGCTTTTTATCGTAGTCATCGTCACCATCGTCGTAATTTAACATTCATATCACGAACAATACAACACAAGTCAAACATGGAGGTGGTGCACAGCGAATTAATCTGTCAGCGCTTGAGTTCACGAGCATATGACGTCAGCGTACAGGAGGCTTGCCTTTTTCCTGACACTCCAGCAGCAGTGTTTGCAAAGTTGTGCACATTGTGGCGTCGTGGTGTCATGTGAGGTCACGAGTTTGTGGCGATGGTGGCGGACAAAGGAGCGGCATTTAGACATTGTGGCCTCACCTCAGCCTTGGCCTGCTTCTCCTTGGCGGAATTGTCGTCCTTTGTTGAACTGTCGTCCTTGATGGACTGTGGACACATCGACAGGGTGTGTGAGGGGATGCTCTTGTGCCGGTGTGCTTTGGAATGGACATGTATTGTATGAATATTTTATGTTACATTATTTATAATTAATACCGTGAAGTAAAAAAGGGGACATAAGCAACCCCCGCTGGGAGCAAGACCAGCTGTGCGTGTATCTGAAGAAGTGCGCGGGCATCGGAAGTTGCCCATCGCCTTCCCTCCACCAGTGTAATATATGTATGTGTTGCTTATATCAGAACAGTGTTTACATCAGGTGTGCTCGTATCCAGCTTCCACTGGTTATTAAAAAAAAGCTATCTGCGAGTCTTGATTACACAACGGGAGCGTCTAGTTTTTGCTGTATTTATTTCCATTTCAGGGTTGTGGACAAATCTCTTGCAAAAAAAAAGAGGTCCCTCAAATGAGTCGGTACCCTTATTACGAATACGGGTCGTTATTCTGCCAATCGGTCCTCCTAAGGAGATGGTCTCGGTGGTGGTTTGAGAACCGGGGTGCAAAAGCACGAGGAGAGCCGTGGGGGCCCTGTTACCAGCTCTCGGAAGAACTTGCTGACAGGATTCTCCTTGGCCTCTGCGGAGGTTCGGCTCTCAACTTTCTCGCTCTTCTCACTCTTCTCCCCCTTCTGCTCAGACCAAGAAAGCAAAGTCCCCCCCCTGTTTTAGCCTTCCTTAAGCACTGTGGGGACCAACATCGATACACTGAGCAGTGCCCTGTTAAAGCCAACACAGCTCACAAGGTGTTGCTGTGACCAGGCTCATGGCGAAGCTTCCTTCATCTCTCCACTTCTCAAGGTTGACCGCAGGCACTAACTTTTTATGCTGAGTTGACCTTCAGAAGGCCCAATACGGGCTCAGATATCATTATCCACTAGCAGTGCTCATGGCCACGGATATACAGTGCAACAGCCACCAATAGCAGAGATCCCAACATTTTTGAATTGTACATTTTGTATCACACGCATGGAATTAGACCGAGACAGAACAACCAACACGTGAACCTGGAGAACATAAGCAAATTGGAGACATCATATCGACTTCAAAAAAGTAAGAGGACTTGGGCGAGACATGTCTTTAAGAGGGATGATGGGCGGTGGTCAACTCTGATGATGGAGTGGCAGCCAAAGGAGTGATCATGCCCAAAATGACTTCCTCTGAGGAGATGGATTGATGAAATGAGCTCATGGTTCAAGAGTTAGATGCCGTTGTTGCATCAAGCAACAATGAGGGATAGTGACAGCTTGTGAATGCCTTCATCCAGCAGTAAAGCCAAATGAGCTATCAGCTGATTGTTCAGAAGCGACCTGACCACACATGGTAGCTCAACAAAGTGACTTATTGCGTGTAGGGTTACATCGTCAAGTCATTTAGAATACAACAGAATATTATTACAACAACAAAAACATACAACAAATCTACAGACCTTATTTTACAATAATTTAATACGAATTCGAATATGGCTAAGAAAAGAAGGCGAAGTAGCTGGGAAATAGATTGTAATTTACTGAAAGGGAAAGTGAGCAGATGTAATCAATTCTAAACAAATTGGCTTAAGGCAAAGGGAAAACGGGGAACAAACACACCTTCGAATGAAAAGCATTTACGGCTTTCGTCAAGCTGACTCACCAACATTTTCTCCAACCTCAACTTCCCATTCACTATTAACTTTAGGCGCGATGAAGAGACAACGTGGCGCACGGACTGAAGAAGCACCAGTCGAACATGATGGCAAAGCGAAATCAGTAATTCGCGCGTGCTAGGTACGGCGAGAGCGAGTACCCACCTCGGCTTTAGGCGGCTCCTCCTTGCTGGGATCGTCCTCCTTCTTGGACTGCGGAAACATTCGTGGACTTTGTAAGAATGTGTGTGTTGAGAGTGGGTCTGAGCGGTGGTAAAGTGTTGGTAAAGCTGTTCGGAGATAGACTGGGTGGTGATCTACGTGTTGGTGAGATGCTGAAAGGTGGTCTGAGGTGTGACCAAGTGCTGGTGAGATGTTAAGATAAATTAATTACGGTGTCAAGATGTTGAGAGACGGTTTGAGTGGTGATCCCTGTGACCGAGATGTTGACAGACGGTTTGAGCGGTGATCTACGAGGTGGTGAGTCATTGCGAGAAGGATTGAGTGGTGGTCTACGTGGCAGCGAGGCGGTGAGCAGGCATGAGACGCATGTGGTGGAGAAGTACGGACTCGGTCACCATTTGCGTGAAGAACTTGCTGATGGGGTTCTCCTTGCTGTCGGCAGAAGCGGTGCTCACCACATCCTTCTCGCTCGCTTTCCCTTCTGCCTGCTCAACCAAGACATACAACCACGTCGGGGACTCCACGTTACTCCTCGAACTCGTACATTTCATGGGGCAGAGTCAATTCAACTGGCAGTCCGTGGTCTGCCCAGCTACGGCTCGTGGAGAGATGAGGCTTTTGCGAGACGTAAAGAGATAAAAGGGAGATAAACAAGAGGCAGAGATGGGAATGCTGGAGGCACCAGGTACGGATTAGAGGTCGCGCGCACAAACGTTATGACCAGGGCCGGATTATGACACATACACACAAATAGTTCAACATGCATACACACAAATAGTTCAACATACATACACACCAATAGTTCAACATGCATACACACAAATAGTTCAACATACACACACACAAATAGTTCAACATACATACACACAAATAGTTCAACATACATACACACAAATAGTTCAACATACATACACACAAATAGTTCAACATACATACACACAAATAGTTCAACATACATACACACAAATAGTTCAACATACATACACACAAATAGTTCAACATACATACACACAAATAGTTCAACATACATACACACAAATAGTCCAACATACTCTTTGGTTCTAGTCGGTAAAGTCACGTAGGTAAAAAATAAAACAACAAAAATCACGACGTTTCGGCCACAACACAAGTGGCCTTCATCAGGTGAAGGGACCGTACTGTCCAGAGGACAGCGTTGGAGTGAAGACAGCCAAGCCCAGGTCGCCTCCTTTAAGCTTGTGGTCGTGTGACTTTACCGAATAGAACCAAAGAGTATGGATCCTTGCAGTCACGAAAGCCTCAAATCTAGTCCAACATACATACACACAAATAGTTCAACATACATACAGTGAGGGAAAGTATTTGATCCCCTGCTGATTTTGTACGTTTGCCCACTGACAAATAAATGATCAGTCTATAATTTTAATGGTAGGTTTATTTGAACAGTGAGAGACAGAATAACAACAACAAAATCCGGAAAAACGCATGTCAAAAATGTTATAAATTGATTTGCATTTGAATGAGGGAAATAAGTATTTGACCCCTCTGCAAAACATGACTTAGTACTTGGTGGCAAAACCCTTGTTGGCAATCACAGAGGTCAGACGTTTCTTGTAGTTGGCCACCAGGTTTGCACACATCTCAGGAGGGATTTTGTCCCACTCCTCTTTGCAGATCTTCTCCAAGTCATTAAGGTTTCGAGGCTGATGTTTGGCAACTCGAACCTTAAGCTCCCTCCACAGATTTTCTAAGGGATTAAGGTCTGGAGACTGGCTAGGCCACTCCAGGACCTTAATGTGCTTCTTCTTGAGCCACTCCTTTGTTGCCTTGGCCGTGTGTTTTGGGTCATTGTCATGCTGGAATACCCATCCACGACCCATTTTCAATGCCCTGGCTGAGGGAAGGAGGTTCTCACCCAAGATTTGATGGTACATGGCCCCATCCATCGTCCCTTTGATGCGGTGAAGTTGTCCTGTCTCTTTAGCAGAAAAACACCCACAAAGCATAATGTTTCCACCTCCATGTTTGACGGTGGGGATGGTGTTCTTGGGTACATAGGCAGCATTCCTCCTCCTCCAAACACGGCGAGTTGAGTTGATGCCAAAGAGCTCAATTTTGGTCTCATCTGACCACAACACTTTCACCCAGTTGTCCTCTGAATCATTCAGATGTTCATTGGCAAACTTCAGACGGGCATGTATATGTGCTTTCTTGAGCAGGGGGACCTTGCGGGCGCTGCAGGATTTCAGTCCTGCACGGCGTAGTGTGTTACCAATTGTTTTCTTGGTGACTGGTCCCAGCTGCCTTGAGATCATTGACAAGATCCTCCCGTGTAGTTCTGGGCTGATTTCTCACCGTTCTCATGATCATTGCAACTCCACGAGGTGAGATCTTGCATGGAGCCCCAGGCCGAGGGAGATTGACAGTTCTTTTGTGTTTCTTCCATTTGTGAATAATCACACCAACTGTTGTCACTTTCTCACTAAGCTGCTTGGCAATGGTCTTGTAGCCCATTCCAGCCTTGTGTAGGTCTACAGTCTTGTCCCTGATATCCTTGGGGAGCTCTTTGGTCTTGGCCATGGTGGAGAGTTTGGAATCTTATTCATTGATTGCTTTTGTGGACAGGTGTCTTTTATACAGGTAACAAGCTGAGATTAGGAGCACTCCCTTTAAGAGTGTGCTCCTAATCTCAGCTCGTTACCTGTATAAAAGACACCTGGGAGCCAGAAATATTTCTGATTGAGACGGGGTCAAATACTTATTTCCCTCATTAAAATGCAAATCAATTTATAACATTTTTCACATGCGTTTTTCTGGATTTTTGTTGTTATTCTGTCTCTCACTGTTCAAATAAACCTACGATGAAAATTATAGACTGATCATTTCTTTGTCAGTGGGCAAACGTACAAAATCAGCAGGGGATCAAATACTTGTTTTCCCTCACTGTACACACAAATAGTTCAACATACACACAAATGCCGCATTCTCCGGGTTGTAAGACGGAAAGGAAAGACGCACCCCATAATTTTGCTTTATAATACATCGGTCGGGGTGGTGGGGGCGGGAGTAGAAAGTGCTTGTATTATAATCTGAAGAATACGGTACACTGTATTTATACCACCAAGTGCCGCCGTCTGGAAAACGTAATTTCTTTTCACTGCCGGCGAGTTCTTTGTGTCCCAGAACACCGGCGCCTCGGCACGGAACCGCACAGTGGCCTTGCTCAAAGGCGTGAGGCGCACTGGCGGGCGGTGTGAGGGGTTGGTAATTTCACACCTCCACGTCTCGGAGCGAGCGGAGGTGGGGGGGGTTGCGGGGTTGGTGGAGTGGCATTGATTGGAGCCGTTTGAACAGCGCGCAGAATAACGGAGGAAATGCGGATGAAGCAGTTGAATTTCCCGGCGTCCCAAGTTTCCCAGCATTTGCCAGATGCGCCTGCGTGTGTTAAGGTAACCGAAAAGGCATGCGCGATCTTATAGTTTAATTTTTGTAGTTATAACTAGGCATCTGACAGTTGACGTTCACCAACCTGCACTGGCATGATTGCTGGGTGTCGGGAGGCCCTAATCCAGCAATGGATTGATAAATGCACATGTAGAGATTTAGCGTATTGTCATGATTCAGAATCAATGTGTTTAGTCTCATTTCTAGTCTAATTTGGAATGTTTTGTAAGATGCATTTTCATATGTGAAAGGCGATAATGCAATATTGTTTATTTATATTTTTTAGTTTTACCATGGAAGGTCCACTGAGCTATGTATCTCTCTTTTTTCAGAAGCGACCTGGCCACAAATGGTAGCTCAATGAAATGGCTTATCACGTCGAAATGTAAAGCAACCATATACTCTAAATGTATGTTTCTAAATCTGGAGGGAAACATCGGAGGACCTGGAGGAAAATCCATGCGGCCACGGGGAGAACACGCAAACACCAAATACACAGGCAAGGGAGTTAACATCTCGCCACCACGTTTATACAAGGCGCAGCAGACCGAACAAAGTGCTTCAGAGTGCTTCAGAGTGCCATATGCATGATTCGATTCATGTATTGAGAGTGTAAATATTGCATTCAATCAATTAAATGAGCCGTCATTATATGCTTTATAATGCCCTTCACGAAGGACACCCTCACTGAGTCTTAAGACTATTTTTTTAAAGAGGGTCCTGCTTCGGGATATTTGGCAAATTATATTAAACGAGTGTTCGGCTGGCGGGAGGGAACCGGAATACCTGGTTAAAATACACACACACACACGCTCACAACTCCCGCACAGATAGATTCAGGAATACATGTCTGCATTGCCACATCCTGGCTACCTCGAAGTAATAAAGTTATTTCATGTTTGGCTTTGTTCGTTCGAGACTGAAGAAGATTGGTGAACGTGAAATGATAAAGAGAAGGCGGTGGCAGGTGGAGGCCGGGGTTTGAGAAATGCCGTTGTAAATAATTGTGCAGGCGAAGTACCTCTTCCAGGGGGCATTTCACCTTCCTTTCTTATTTATTTCCTGATTAAATAATAGTATTTTAGAAAATCGAAAAGGAAAACCCACCCCCTCGCACAACAGGAAATAAAATATCACTAGCAGAAGCTTGCAGCAGTGTTTTTTCTAAAGGCCAAAAGCATTGCATTTTTCCACAATAGCTATTTGGAATTTCAAATATATACTTTTATATATATACACGAACGCTTTCATGGTAGGCAACAGGCGAAGCCAGTATATGTGGTATTTTGTGCAAAGGTTTTTGGTTTTTTTAGGAGCCATGAATTCACGTGAAGCCGGCTCACGCGTTACAAACTCAAGATGCCTCACACACCGGGAGTCACAACCCTGTGTGCACGAGTGCAGACGATCATGACGATGATATTAATTTTTCCAACGCGGAATTATTCTGTTTGTAAATTGATCTTCTTTCGCACCATAAAAAGCCAACTGTGCCAATGGGAAGTTTGATCAGCACGGAGAATGACTTTGAACAAACATCGCAATATAGGACCACAGAGCTTGGGTAATTATCGCCGCTGGTTCTGGCCGCCCTCCCACTTGCTTGTGGTTTCCCCGCGAAAGCTGTGCACGTTACAAATTCCACGGCGTTTTGAGAAGACTAAAAACACATAATTAACATTGTTGACCTCTTCCTCCACCAATATCACACACCATCCTCTTTTCCAGTCACATACTTCGTCCAATATAAACAACACCTAATTTCTGAAATGCAGCAGTTAACACTCTCCCAGGCTCTATATTCTGATCGTATAGCGACTCCGAAGTCCGTGTCTGACATTAGACCTTCATTATTACTTCACCAGTTATTAATTGTAAACGATCACTACGGCAGCAACCGTTCCATTATTGTCATCTGGTAGGGTATGGCGGCGCCTTTTTCGATCGTAACTTTTTTTTTATTAATTCCAGCGACAAACGAAGAGAGGGAGTTTCACCGCGCGCGTGGAGTGGAAGGGGTCATGCGGCAGTTTGACCTACCCTCACCTCAACCCCACCCCAC